GCCATTGGCCGTTTTTGGCCAAATCCTGGCCGGGAGCCTTTTGGAAGCAACTTTCTGCCATTTGGCGGCCCCGCGGCCGGCTATTGAATTTCTCTTCTGCGATCATTGGGAAACGGCCGTTTTTGGCCAAATCCTGGCCGGGAGCCTTTTGGAAGCAAACTTCTGCCATTTGGCGGCGCCGCGGCCGGCTATTGAATTTCTTTTCTGGGCTCATTAGGAAACGGCCGTTTTTAGCCAAATCCTGGCCGGGAGCCTTTTGGAACCACATTTCTGCCATGTGGCGACGGTCTCCAGGACGATAATTTTGACATTTCAATTTGAAACGGGACGGTCTCCAGGACGATAATTTTGACCCTAATTTTGACCCTGCGACTTCTCATTTCAATTTGAAGCGGGACGGTCTCCAGGACGATAATTTTGACCCTGCGACTTCTCATTTCAATTTGAAGCAGGACGGTCTCCAGTGCCATTGGCCGCTTTTGGCCAGGTCCTGGCCGGGAGCCTTTTGGAAGCAACTTTTTGCTATTTGGCGGCCCGGCGGCCGGCTATTGAATTTCCCTTCTGGGATCATTGGGAAACGGCCGTTTTTGGCCAAATCCTGGCCGGGAGCCTTTTGGAAGCAAACTTCTGCCATTTGGCGGCGCCGCGGCCGGCTATTGAATTTCTTTTCTGAGCTCATTAGGAAACGGCCGTTTCTAGCCAAATCCTGGCCGGGAGCCTTTTGGAAGAATTTCTGCCATTTGGCGACGGTCTCCAGGACGATAATTTTGACCCTAATTTTGACCTTGCGCCCTTTCATGTCAATTTGAAACGGGACGGTCTCCAGGACGATAATTTTGACCCTAATTTTGACCGTGCGACTTCTCATTTCAATTTGAAGCGGGACGGTCTCCAGGACGATAATTTTGACCCTAATTTTGACCCTGCCCCTTCTCATTTCCATTTGAAGCAGGACGGTCTCCAGTGCCATTGGCCGTTTTTGGCTAAATCCTGGCCGGGAACCTTTTGGAAGCACATTTCTGCCATTTGGCGACGGTCTCCAGGACGATAATTTTGACCCGAATTTTGGCCCTGCGCCCTTTCATTTCAATTTGAAAACGGGACGGTCTCCAGGACGATAATTTTGACCCTAATTTTGACCCTGCGACTTCTCATTTCAATTTGAAGCGGGACGGTCTCCAGGACGATAATTTTGACCCTCCTGGCCGGGAACCTTTTGGAAGCCACTTTCTGCCATTTGGCGGCGCCGCGGCCGGCTATTGAATTTCTTGTCTGGGATCATTGGGAAACGGCCGTTTTTGGCCAAATCCTGGCCGGGAGCCTTTTGGAAGCAAATTTCTGCCATTTGGCGGCGCCGCGGCCGGCTATTGAATTTCTTTTCTGGGCTCGTTAGGAAACGACCGTTTTTAGCCAAATCCTGGCCGGGAGCCTTTTGGAACACATTTCTGCCATTTGGCGACGGTCTCCAGGACGATAATTTTGACCCGAATTTTGGCCCTGCGCCCTTTCATTTCAACTTGAAACGGGACGGTCTCCAGGACGATACTTTTGACCCTAATTTTGACCCTGCGACTTCTCATTTCAATTTGAAGCGGGACGGTCTCCAGGACGATAATTTTGACCCTTCCCATTTCAATTTGAAGCAGGACGGTCTCCAATGCCATTGGCCGTTTTTGGCCAAATCCTGGCCGGGAGCCTTTTGGAAGCAACTTTCTGCCATTTGGCGGCCCCGCGGCCGGCTATTGAATTTCTCGTCTGGGATCATTGGGAAACGGCCGTTTTTGGCCAAATCCTGGCCGGGAACCTTTTGGAAGCACATTTCTGCCATTTGGCGACGGTCTCCAGGACGATAATTTTGACCCGAATTTTGGCCCTGCGCCCTTTCATTTCAATTTGAAACGGGACGGTCTCCAGGACGATAATTTTGACCCTAATTTTGACCCTGCGACTTCTCATTTCAATTTGAAGCGGGACGGTCTCCAGGACGATAATTTTGACCCTAATTTTGACCCTGCCCCTTCTCATTTCAATTTGAAGCAGGACGGTCTCCAGTGCCATTGGCCGTTTTTGGCCAGGTCCTGGCCGGGAGCCTTTTGGAAGCAACTTTCTGCCATTTGGCGGCCCCGCGGCCGGCTATTGAATTTCTCTTCTGGGATCATTGGGAAACGGCCGTTTTTGGCCAAATCCTGGCCGGGAGCCTTTTGGAAGCAAATTTCTGCCATTTGGCGGCGCCGCGGCCGGCTATTGAATTTCTTTTCTGGGCTCATTAGGAAATAACCGTTTTTACCCAAATCCTGGCCGGGAGCCGTTTGGAAGCACATTTCTGCCATTTGGCGACGGTCTCCAGGACGATAATTTTGACCCTAATTTTGACCCTGCCCCTTCTCATTTCAATTTGAAACGGGACGGTCTCCAGGACGATAATTATGACCCTAATTTTGACCCTGCGACTTCTCATTTCAATTTGAAGCAGGACGGTCTCCAGTGCCATTGGCCGCTTTTGGCCAAATCCTGGCCGGGAGCCTTTTGGAAGCAAATTTCTGCCATTTGGCGGCCCCGCGGCCGGCTATTGAATTTCTCTTCTGGGATCATTGGGAAACGGCCGTTTTTGGCCAAATCCTGGCCGGGAGCCTTTTGGAAGCAAACTTCTGCCATTTGGCGGCGCCGCGGCCGGCTATTGAATTTCTTTTCTGGGCTCGTTAGGAAACGGCCGTTTTTAGCAAATCCTGGCCGGGAGCCTTTTGGAAGCACATTTCTGCCATTTGGCGACGGTCTCCAGGACGATAATTTTGACCCGAATTTTGGCCCTGCGCCCTTTCATTTCAATTTGAAACGGGACGGTCTCCAGGACGATAATTTTGACCCGAATTTTGACCCTGCGACTTCTCATTTCAATTTGAAGCGGGACGGTCTCCAGGACGATAATTTTGACCCAAATTTTGACCCTGCCCCTTCCCATTTCAATTTGAAGCAGGACGGTCTCCAGTGCCATTGGCCGTTTTTGGCAAAATCCTGGCCGGGAGCCTTTTGGAAGCAACTTTCTGCCATTTGGCGGCCCCGCGGCCGGCTATTGAATTTCTCGTCTGGGATCATTGGGAAACGGCCGTTTTTGGCCAAATCCTGGCCGGGAGCCTTTTGGAAGCACATTTCTGCCATTTGGCGACGGGATAATGTTGACCCGAATTTTGGCCCTGCGCCCTTTCATTTCAATTTGAAACGGGACGGTCTCCAGGACGATAATTTTGACCCTAATTTTGACCCTGCGACTTCTCATTTCAATTTGAAGCGGGACGGTCTCCAGGACGATAATTTTGACCCCAATTTTGACCCTGCCCCTTCCCATTTCAATTTGAAGCAGGACGGTCTCCAGTGCCATTGGCCGTTTTTGGCCAAATCCTGGCCGGGAGCCTTTTGGAAGCATCTTTCTGCCATTTGGCGGCCCCGCGGCCGGCTATTGAATTTCTCGTCTGGGATCACTGGGAAACGGCCGTTTTTGGCCAAATCCTGGCCGGGAGCCTTTTGGAAGCAAATGTTGTGCCATTTGGCGGCGCCGCGGCCGGCTATTGAATTTCTTTTCTGGGCTCATTAGGAAATAACCGTTTTTACCCAAATCCTGGCCGGGAGCCGTTTGGAAGCACATTTCTGCCATTTGGCGACGGTCTCCAGGACGATAATTTTGACCCTAATTTTGACCCTGCCCCTTCTCATTTCAATTTGAAGCGGGACGGTCTCCAGGACGATAATTTTGACCCTAATTTTGACCCTGCCCCTTCTCATTTCAATTTGAAGCAGGACGGTCTCCAGTGCCATTGGCCGCTTTTGGCCAAATTCTGGCCGGGAGCCTTTTGGAAGCAACTTTCTGCCATTTGGCGGCCCCGCGGCCGGCTATTGAATTTCTCTTCTGGGATCATTGGGAAACGGCCGTTTTGGGCCAAATCCTGGCCGGGAGCCTTTTGGAAGCAAACTTCTGCCATTTGGCGGCGCCGCGGCCGGCTATTGAATTTCTTTTCTGGGCTCATTAGGAAACGGCCGTTTTTAGCCAAATCCTGGCCGATAGCCTTTTGGAAGCACATTTCTGCCATGTGGCGACGGTCTCCAGGACGATAATTTTGACCCTAATTTTGGCCCTGCGCCCTTTCATTTCAATTTGAAACGGGACGGTCTCCAGGACGATAATTTTGACCCTAATTTCGACCCTGCAAAAGCCACATAGAGCGGGAGCACTCATGAGAAAAATTGGTCACAAAATCGCAAAACCATTCTTTTTGCATTTTTTGCACAAACCTGATTTTGAGGGTTTTTCACGGCCTTTTCACGGGGTTTTCACTGGCTTTTCATGGCCTTTTCACGGTTTTTTCACGGTGTCACTATTTTCGTAAATCTCGAAGTGGCACCCTAACTTTTTTCAAGCATTGGATAACTTTGGGGGTGGGACCTTGCTCGGCTAAGTCTCACAAAAATACGACCTCAAAAAAAATAACATAGAGAAAACCTCAGTCCTAAAGGCCTAGTTTAACCGGGCCTTTAGCAAAGGCCTAGTTTAGCGAGGACTTGGACCGACAGGGAATCCCTGAATTCAATAATCCCTGTCCAAATATTCCCTGGATAGCCAAGAGTCACATCTTACGACTGCCAGCACTTTGCCAAATTCGTTGTACAAATGCTGCAAAAAGTGGAGTCTTATATATCTATCGGTCTCAAATATATGTGGAAAACCACAGTGTCCAGGACTTCGAGCAACTTCCAGCCGATTTTTCTCACGCTTCCAGCTCTGTGATTCAAATCCAGCCATCCACCATCCGGTAATCAAACATGCTCTGCTGGAGAATTCCCCGCGTTGTTCAATGATCTTCTCAGCTATAAGTTTCCATGGCTAGTTCACGATTTTCTCATTAAAACCTTCATATGCAATCATGTATAGATGATTATCGAATTAAAACCTCCGTTCATAGTACGGACAACCTTCTGTAATCCACAAATTTATCATGTATAGCTTATTTTCCCAGCAGAGAAAAAAAACATTGAAACGATATAGGTAGGAAATCTCCACTGTTTCAACACGTGAAACAATGTGGATGTCCATCATCAAGATCACTCGGTAAGCGCCCTCATCGCGAGAGGCCAGGCAGGGCGTCAAGCGTCGGTCCTGGGGATGTCGGCCCGGGATGACTCCCCCAGTCCGAACCAATCTTCCAGGGCTCAGTCGCAGTGAGGTCATTTTTTTTAAGCCAGATAGATGTATATTTATCTGTATATATATATATATGTATATATATGTATATATATGTATATGTGCTAACTATAGTATACTTAGTTGGTGAAATACAGTTGGTTGGCTAAGTATGTATGTATATATCGATGTTAGTTGTTTAGCCAAATATCACATTCGTTGGTGATATATTCCAGTTTATCGCGATTAGAAATTCCCATGATATCCCAATTAGTTGCTGAAAATATCCAGCTTTGTTGGATTTTTGAAGATGGTCACTAAGTAAAATGGGGATAATATCTATTAAAAAATGCAGAAGATCTATCAACAGTACAGTAACAGTCATCCGATGTTCACTACATTAATCTGAGTTCTGCAATTGATTATAAGTGTATGTGTATATATATATATATCGATATATATATATATACATATATATATATATACACATATATATATACACATATATATATACACATATATACACAGTTCATATATATATATATACTATTGTGTGTGTTATTGGTCGAAAGCGCCTGTTACCCCCGTGAATACCGCTTTGTTCATCCCTCCATTCCAATTGTCCCATAGGTATTCACTCATCCCTCCTCCCTTGTTGTTGATTTCTCAATACACCTGGCTAATCTGAAAATATCAGTTTAGAAAAGAAGCCGAATGCTATAGACAATATTATAGAATCCCCGTGTATGGCCAAAAAACTGGGATATTGCTACTTTATCCCATTTATCACCCCCGAAGCTGGGTTGATAATCTTTGATACGCTTTCAATCTGTTTATAAGTTTCACCCCATTAACTAGTTCGATATATCTACAATACAATAAATCATAGAATTGACCCACCCATCAGCCCATGGAAGGGGCGGCCGGGCGTGACCTCGGACCATGGGACCATGGGACCGTGAGCTTCGAGTCGAGGGATCGCCGTAGAACTCTGAGTGCCAAGCAGTGGGCAGAGGCTGGATATAAGCGCCCTCGACCTCAATCGAGTCTTTCCCATGGATCCAATGTCTCAAATCCCCAGATTCACAGGAAACTGCCCCAATTTTCCCAGATTTTTTTCCGTGTAATTGGTTCAGTTTCAGTCAGAAAAGGCGCCCAAACATCGGGGACCCAAAATCCAAAAATCAGCAGCGTATGGTGCCGAGACTCCGAAACCCCAGGCCTTCCGCGGAGCTTCCCTTACCTTACGTTCCCGGATGACGGCGCCTGTGTCTGGACCTTGGTCCGTCAAGACGTCCACCGTTTAAACTTCGTTGAACTTTCGTTGCACTTTCGTTGAACTTCGTTGAACATGTCTTCTGGAATATAAAAACAAAGTTAATTTGCAAGATTCAAACCTTTCAGAGCAATTGAAGTTGATAGATTCTGATTTTTGACATTCATTTGTTGCGTACCATAGGAATATATATATATGTATATATATATGTATACATGTGTATTCATGTATATATATATATATGTGTGTGTATGTTTAATGCGGTAAACCCAATGCCATAAACCATCCCGAAGTCATCACCACTATTTTTATGGATGGGATGTAGCAACCATCCCTCGTGCAACTCTGAGCTACGCCGTCCCTCCAACCAGTCGTCGGGGAAGCTGAGTCTCATGGAGGCCTTTCCTGGTGGCGCTGAGCAAATGGAACCAGAAAAACACGGCAGGAAACCAAAGTGACCCTCCGGTAGTTCAATGTGGCTAGCTAGGAAATCCATGGAAATTCCCTATATTTTTGCTAAAAATGGAAGTTTATAGCTGGGAAAATCATCTATAAATAGTGGATTGATGGAGGGACAGGTATGTCATATGCATATGTTACATGCAACAGTAACTCCAGATGTATAGATGAGTAGTACATTTTGGTATATGTTGGTTATATCATGGTATCTCTCTCTATCTCTATCTCTATCCACAGGTGTATCATGACCAAGAACATGTATCGTAATTATACCTATAGCCACCGCAGGCTAAAATTTGAGCCCGAGCGTGTTTTGACCTATTTTTCTGCCTGACCCTGGAAATCCCGCCTGACCCTACCTAAATCCTCGCCTGTAGGGAAATTTGTGCGTTTTTGTTTTGATTCACTGTTCCGCATTTCTGCTTCGCCATTCCTGGACAAACGGGCCCGCAAAAAACAAACTATGGCCAGTAGATAAAACCTTTCCTCGCGAATTCTCGCCTGTTTCCCGGGTATTCCCGCCTGTTTTCCGGGTGTTCTCGCCCGACTTGCTTTGAGACAATGTTTCAAAACTTGCCTGAACTGCACATGCAAGAGAAAATTCAAGCCCTGATTGTTCGGGGAAGGTGTCTTTAGACCTACTTTGTCAAATTGCAATTCTTGCCTGACGATCTTCGGGACGATAATTTTCACCTTAAATGCCAGGACTGTTTTTTTGAGCATATAATGTAGACCCTTCCCTTTCTTTTTATTTGAATCAGGACTGTCTCCAGGACGATAATAGACAGCCTTCTAAAGAACCTTCGTTGTGACTAGAGAATTTCCGTCCAATCCTGAAAGCTCCGAAGCCCAGCAATGAGGCCATAGTCAAAATGATACAGGTTCCTACGAAAGGCACGCCTGGTCGGGTAAAAAACTTGCTTTTCGCATGGAACTCCGTAGGCACGCCTAAGGTGCACCTTTCAAGACCACCTTTACAAGAGTCCAGTGTCCAGTGTGCATTTTTTTTAATTAGTTTACAGTGGAACTCCGGCTCCACAACTCAAGTTTGGGCACAAGGATTACATATCAAACAATAATTCCGGCCGTGCAAATACGATGCTTCTTCAGGTCCTACGAAATTCTTTGGAATTCAAACTTGGCCATGCCCATTCCCGACCACAGCTGCGTTCCCGAGAAATCATTGACAGCTAGCAGAAGGCTTCTTCCAACAGGAGCCTCCAGGCCACATGCAGCAAGCAAAGTAATTTTTCACCGCTCGCATGCTGCTTCGATGCTTTCCGGAGCTATTTCAACTGCCAGGGTGAAGCAGAATCGCTCCTTAAGCCACAATGACAGCACGGGGATGAGCAAGTTTTCCAGAACGGATCATTCTTGCCTACCCATGTCACACAGCTGGCACTACCTGTGCGAGAGCGCAGTTCCACGAAAACTAGTTTCCCCAAATAACACCGGAAACTTTGGAGTTAAACTGGGCTATGCCCATTCCCAACCTCAACTGCGCTCCCTAGAAAACTCTAACCTGCACGGGGCAAAGGCTTATTGCACTTTGATGCCGGGGTGGTCGGATGAGCAAGTTTTCCAGAACGGATCATGCTTGCCAATCCAAAATGCTGTCCATACTTGGGATGCGCATTCCGTGGGATACGCTGACAAATCTCTTGCCGGAGTTTCAACAATGGCTATGTTCAAAGGGCTGCTTCAACTGCACTCCAAAGTACTCATGGACAGATGACGACATATTAAACCTTATTCAGCATTGGAGCGATATGCACGGTGCACGCGTATGTCAAGCAAGGCATGTAGTGGCTTCATGCCGCAGCACAAACAATTTTCAATGACGCTTAGCCCCCTAGAGCCAAGCAGAATCTCTGCGACATCCTGGAAACCGCGTCTTGCAGCCAGCTGCCCAAGCCTTGTCCGCAATTTTCGGACGAAGCTCAAAGATCCGTAGTCCACGGGTGACCCTGCACCCTGCCAAGAACCCACTCCAAACGCTGCAGTTGACCCCTGAAGCATGGACAAATACTCCCGGGCACATCCAGTGCGAGGAACTGTCACCCACTGCGAATCGAGACTGCGGAAAACAAAACCCTGTGTGAGCTCATCCCACCTGTCCGCGACAACCTTCGCAACCAGTCCTTGGCACCTCAGGAAAGGGAAGCCACTGCGGGCAAACACCTCTTGCAGCCCATAAGCTGATCGAACCCAAGGCGGCGACAAATCGACTAAGGTCTGAAGAACACCTTCAAGCTTGTCAAACCCAAGCGCCTTCATGGGCCGAAAGCCTCTGTGCGAAATATCTGCCCATCCATGGTTTTGGCGGAATTCACGCACAAGTTCAAGAGTCACCTGGACAATTTTTTTTGCCCGCAGCCGCTGTTCACCCATGCCCACCGATCTCTCTCCCTCCCCAACATCACTTGGGAGCACGTATGCACCAGAGGCTGCATGAACCTGGGAAAAGTTGCTGTCATCTTCTTCGGTATCCTCGCCTTCATCACCGGAAGGTTCTGCTGCGGGCAAATCTTCCCAACCCGACACAGCCTCTTTTGCATACATTTTCCCAAGCGGAGTCCGCCTGCTAGGCTGCTGCAAGCGCCCGCGCAAGAAAATGGCAAAAGCACGGCCACCTGTGCATACTCCCAGGTAAGCTGCATACAACAAATCCACTGGTGAAGGAAAGCAAATATCTGCCATCCCAAGCAAACATACCGAAGTGAAACGCATGGTTCGAGAGCCGCGGTCGTCCATTGTGTCAACATTCGTGAGCCGCAGTGAAATCATCGCCCCAAGATAATCTTTCACAGTTTTTCCCGCTACTCGCAGCACGTCCCCGCCCATTGCTTTCAGAAAGGCTTTGGTCTCAATTTTCTGCATGAAATTCTCCAGAGCAAGCCATTTGGAAGCCACAGTTGCCAACCGCATGTTGCTGAGGGTGGCCCGCCAAGCTATGTACAAAACGAGCAAGGCTTCAAATTGCTTTATTTCACCTTGTCCAGACAAGAAGATGAATCGCTTCCGCGGCAAACCTCCACAAGCTTGCGCTGGCTGCACGTCGGACAAAGCCTCGATGCGCAAGCGCTGCGAGCGCCAGAATTTCAGGCCATCTTCTGGCCTGGTCACAAACTTGCGATATGGGTGCGAATAGCTTGCTCCCACTTCATGTCCAACCAGCAAATGCGAAGAAGGCGCAGATCTTTTCATGGGGCACGCTATACAGCCTTACAACCTTCATGGGAAGCGCGCACCAGAACGGATTGTCGCTCACACCTGGGCCAAGAATAATGGGCGTGCCTGTTCTCCATCACTGACCAACCTATATAATGAGCTCTGCTCATGAGGCTTTATTGGGAATGCGCTATTGGACCGGTACCTGGTGTGACAGAGCTGTAGCAGCGAGGGGTGTGTGTGTGTGTGTGCGCGTGTGTCAAGCTGCTCAATAAACCCTGCTACATCCATTCTTGAGCATTGCAGCAACCCCAAGAAAACGCCAGATTGCCATTGTAGTGATGATATCGGGGGGGGGGTCACATTCATACACCCTGCTCCGACCCTATGTTCACTGGGCTCCTCCTTCCGAGAAGCACCCATTGCGACGCTGGATTGGCCGGTACATGCTTTAAAAGAATGATTTCTGTTGGTGCTGTTGTTCGCTGGTTGCTGTATGACACTGTACTTTCTGGTTTGGTTATCACCCTGTCCAAAACATCCCAAGGCAGCTGCAACTTCGCATGTAATATGATGTGAGCAATCCCTTTGAGCCGCGCGCGCCGTTTTTGAGGGGACAGGGAATGTCCTTCCAAAGCAAATTTAATGGCCCTCGCCCCGAGTTTTCTCTTCGGTACTTCTGAATTCTCCGGTTTCTATCCTGCGCGGCGCAAAACTGCTCATGGACAGCTGCAGGTGGGATAATAGCACAGCAACCTGTAGCAGGCAAATTTTTCACCGGCTAGGCTGCCAGATGGCTGGCCTTTACTTGGTTGCCAAATGTAGTCATGAACAGATTTCTTTCCAGTAAATAGGTGTTCGGACACGCAAGTTTTCCAGAACGGATCATGCTTGCGAATCCAAACATCTGTCTTCTACTTGGGGACGCAGTTCCCTTTGATACATGGGTATATAGCCAAATTTGAATCAGTCATGTCCTAACTATGTGAAGCACAATTGTCGCCATGTTCTGGCATGGCTCTTCAGGTTAGCGACCACTGAAGCAGCGGCCTGCTCCAATCTGCAGGCCACTCCCCAGGCTCACAGAAGTACAAGCTGATGCACCATCGTCTTGTGATCCACTGAGAAAACAAAACAGCTAATCCTTGGGAGAACTGTCTCGCAGCCAGCCGCTCACGGAAATGGATGTGCCACAGCACATCAATGGAGCCTTCCGGCAGTACATGCGATAGACTGACCAAATACATGAGAGGCAGCAGACTGCATGCCAGCTTTCCAAACTTTGAGCCGCAACTGCAGAAAATGTTTCTTTAGATAATCAATGTAGAAGAACAAACATATGCTCTCAACTCACTGTCACTTGAGATGCGTCGCAAGTTTCGACTGAGGACGGCTGCATCAACTGGGCCCTTTGCAGTCTAGGCTCTAGAGCTTGATCTCTTCCGTGACCAGTGCGGCTCACGTGCAAAAAGATCCAACCTTCAGGCAAAGCAAATCTTCCTGGGCGCGTTCTTGCACAAGGGTGTCTGCGCAGAGCAGCAGTGGAACAGCGAAAGAATAATCAGCAAGTGGGAATCTCTAAAATAAAGCGCTGCAAGGTACTGTTTTCCACTCGCTTCGTCCCCCGCAGCAAAGCCTCAGCTATTATCTCGCTATTGATTGAAATAGCTTTGTCCGCAGACTTTAGCTCCGAAGCTGGCACCGCAGCCTGAAGCTAGACGAAAAACTTTGGCGGGTATACAAGAAGGACAGTTGAAACGAAAAACATGGACAGA